ATGAGCTCATGATCATGGATGGGCCATTGAGCAGTTGGGCTAATCAAAATGAGCTTAGAATCAAAACCCTTGTGAAATCGTGTTCCATTGAGTGGCTCAACCCTGGAAGAGAACTACAAGTGGAACTACGTAGATTTTCTTTATTTCATATTGACATGCCATGGACACCTAATTTTGTGGATTCATTGAGAAAAGAGGCTTCGGCATGTTTACTCCTACCCGTGTCCACGCCTCACCAAGGGATAGAACCACGGGCTCATCTCAGTTTAGGTGAAAACAAACCCAATGGTAAATTAAAGAAGAAGGATGTTGCTGCCACCAAAGATGGGGTCTTAAATGTGCGAGTTGATAAGAAGAAATTTCAATGTGGAGCTATGAGCCAAAATGTGGAAGCCTCACCTCAAAAGCTATCTTCACTAACGGTACCTCGTGCCAAGTTTGTTAAGTTTTTGCAGGTTCCATGTGAAGAAGAAACTTCCGAGTTTTATCATAAGACTCGTAAAAAGCTTATGAAGAGAGAGTTAAAAGGTTCCATCCACTATCAGCCCGGAGACCTAGTGTGGGTCCATGTACAAAGAGAGCGTTTCTCTGGAAAACGCAAGGCAAAGCTTCAACCTCGAGATGATGGCCCATTTGAAGTGGTAGCCAAGATCACTAACAATGCCTACATGGTTGCCCTTAGTAAAAGTGGTGGAGTTTCTGCCACGTTCAGTAAGAGAGACCTCAGTCCATATGACGGTCTCGATTATCCGTTGAGTTTGAGGGCAAACTCTTTTGAAGACCGGGAGGATGTTATATCCGGGCTTGGCCCTATCATACCCTCCCCCATGTCCCATACCCGAGGCTGAGCCCACACTCCCCATACCTTCCCTAAACATCCAAAATATTTCCTTTTCGAAATAAAGTTTTTCCTACTCTTATTTTAGCCCAGGGCCGAAAATAAGAGTGTGTAAAATAAAACCTTTTGTTTGATGTTATTTTCCTTTTTTTAAGCCTTTTATTAAGCGAATAAAACCCTCCCTTTATTCCATTCACCCCTGTCCAATTAAATCTCACAATCCCAACATAAACACCCACAAAAGGCCAAAAACCTGACCCACCACTAGCCATTCATTTCCTGCCCATATTCCCTTACAAATAACCCAATCCTATAAGTCCAAAACCCCACATTATATTCCCCATCCCTGCCTGGCCGAATCAACCCACCCAATACCCTCCAAAATGACAGCCCACTCCACCATAACTTGCCCACAATAATAACCCAACAACAGCCCCACAAACCAGCCCCCATCTCTGATTTCTTTCCATTAAGGAGACAAGAATAAATGGGTATTATCCCATGTTTTTGAAATAGTTGCTTCCAAGAAGTTTCCTCATGTTTTGTACTATGTATTTCCCCCTTCCCCTCTCCCTATATAAATCAGGCCCTATGGCCAAATGTAACACATCTCTGATTATTGAAGCCATTTTACTCTTTGAGTATTATTAAAATAGTGTGATGCTATTTTAGCGAAATCCCTAATTCTATATCTTAAGAGTGGTTATCTTAAGTGTGAGTTTTAGGTTCTAGATATTTAAATAAGTGTGTAATATCTTATTTGAATTCTAGATTCAAACCCCATGTTAGGCTAAGAGTGTGTAATATCTCTTAAACACCAACTTGGTTTATCCATCCCTGATTTTCTTCCATTTCATATCCCCCCATTTCTCCTCTTAATCTCACTCTTTTCTTCCAATTAAAATACCCAAAAGAACTCCCTCATCAACTCCATATATTTCCAGTCCATTCCCCCACAAAAACACCCTTCTTCCTGCCCAGAATTCTGCCAAATAATCGATTATCATTCCCCACAATCGATTATCAATCCCATTGGAAACACCTGCAGGGATCAATAATCGATTATCCCTTTAAGATAATCGACTATCATCTTCCC